GATCAAAGAAGCCATTATATTCTATTAACTTGATGAACTTCACAAAACACGAAAATCAGTTTTGAGAAGTCCAGAAGATCAGCTATGAGAATGCCAGGAAACAAGGTAAGAGAGGCATACGCAAAACGTGGGAGAATACATGATTTGATGAAAGCGTCAGAGTGAATTTTGGTGTCCCTACATGCCTCAGAAGAATAAGATAGTACACGTACTTGCACATTTTATCAGCAACCAATTAAACATGTTCGGATTAAGACAAATCTAGAGGAAAAAGGATCCCGATACATCTCATAGACAGTACACGCTCAGCTTCAGCATAATCCATTGTGGACGGGACGTCGTGTAGGTACAAAACCTGAAGATTTGATGTACTCCTATCGCTTTTCTGCATTAAGTCGCAGTGGGATAACCATGAACAAAAACGATCCTGTAACGAAGCTCGGCAGGTAATTTTGCTGAGTGAGAAATGAAGAGATGTTAGTAATGGTGTGGTAAATGTTGTATTATCTTGCACATCTGATAAAGCATAAGGGGATGACTAAATAGTGTAGAAAGTGAAATGAAGGGGAAATAATACGGCATCTCGCGTCACGTAAGAGTGAATGCCTTGAGGACAGGACTTATGAAATTCAAAAATAACTAATTATTTTCTGTTGGTAAATTAGCCACCTTGCCAGTGAAGTATGCTTCAGTCTGACACAGAGATAATTCGAAAGTTTGAATCAAGAGATAGCATAGAATTAAAATCTAAAAAAGCTGCAGACTAACATCTTCCTTTGTCATAATGATCCATGGTATGGTTAACGTAACTGGCAATGGTGTGTAATGTGCTAAAATCTTTCTTATATGAGAAGTAGAAAGATTATAGAAGCTGTAGTATAGCTCTGCTCAGATTGGGACGAAAAAGAAGTTTTGGAGATTTTAGAATAGTAGAACAAACGATTTCAAGGACGAAAGTTAGCTGAGGTTTGCTTAATTAACCTTGTTTTCGGCAGAAGAGCAATTCCAACAAGTTATCGAGATTCAACAACTATCAAAAGGGAGACAGAAACGTTAAAAATTTGACAATGGATTCAGTAGTGTTTATAACAGCATGATTTTAGAGTAAACGGACACACTGTCTCAGGATCGCACAATATATCGGTTCATAGCTAGCGGAAACAATCGAGGACATCGGTATTCTTAAATTGGACAGCAACGGCGCATGATACATCTTGACCCAGGAACTTTGTAGAGTCAGAGACACCTTGCTCTTGAAATTCAAAGAGGAATTGTTGAAAGCTTCCAATATTATAAACAGGACGATTCGCTCAATAGAACATAAGTTGTGTTGGACAAGGAAAATAGTTTGGGGATGTGTTGCGAATGCCTCTAGAAAGGAAGGCTAAGCAACTGTTTCTTGCGAAACCGACCAACACAAGGTGCAGGAGACGCCAAGATTAACCTGGCATAAATAAATGGAAGGAGTCTGTTCTAAACTTCAGTTGTCTTGTGCCGAATCTCAGACTTTGGCACAGGAGATGGAACGTTGGAAGCTCTGTCTGACGCGCATGCCTCTGCGATCCTACAGGAGAAGCGGCCATGGAGGATGAAGATGATGTAGAAAAATAAAATTTTTCGTGAAAATAACAGGCTTTTTGTCACCATATAGCAGCAGTGCTGCAAAATGTAACACATAATATATAATAATGAACTCAACTCATGCAAGTTGCGACCGCAAACTCTGTGCAATTGGGCGTCTTTGTTTGTCTTCATTTCTAACAGTTATAAAGGCATGGAATCATCGACTTCAACACTGCAAAGGTAAACTAGTAGCGTTGTCGAGATTACTGACTAATTCTGTTATTATATTCCTGAAAATGGGACATTCTATAGGTTGTTACCTAACTTTCCAAATTGCGTATTTCCTAATTCAGTATTGATAATAAAGTACAATAACACCGCAAACGGCCGATATTACGATACGTGCTTGGGTATGATTATGACAAATCCTATTACGTACTTCTGCGTGTAATACGTACCATTTGCGTACTGTTGTACGTCTGGTTGTTGCATTTTCTTGGTGTTATGTAATTTAGTTGAATTTAAGCATCTAACGATTGTATTTTGAACCTTTATAACGCAGTTTCCAAGTTTGCGATGCATTATTTTTTGCTACATTGCTGATCGTCGATTGAGAGAAAGTCACACTAGTGTGCGTGTTTACTTGTCATTTCACGTTTACCAAAAACGCAAGTGTTTCGTAGCAGGACAAATGATAATGGAAGAGGTTTTGCAACACATTTTGTCAACAAAATTTGCACAATTTGGGGTTTTGCGCAGTCTGGTGGCGATTCAGCTAGTACTGCTGTATTCATCCAGAAGGAAGTTTTAAATAAGCATTTCATCACCAAATTGAGTTTTAAAACAGTCCGAGTGTTTTTCCTTCAAGTTTTGTTTGTGTCTTCGAGAGCGGTTTTCCCAGAATCCGGACACTGTTGCTGAGTTGAAGCTAATAAATTTAAACATACTAATGCGGAATCGGGAAGTGCTTAACCACACTGGTTTCAGAACAGTATCCAGTATGGCTTGTCGAGGCAGCAGTTGGACGAAGTATTCCCCAATTTGAATGACAAGCATTATTAGTTCCGCAGGCAGGCTAGGAGGTTTAATTTATAATAGCTTTTCGATATAATTGGTATAGTTCGGAAAGAATTTGACAGTCCATATTTAATCGGAAAGACATTGGATTAGACACTACGTGGTCAGTACCGGTTGTAGACATCGAACAACAGACAGTATTGTGGTTGTTTGAAACGTTGGCAATTGGATATTTTGTACATCATATTCGTGCCCTGATGCAGTTTAATTTCATAGCATTTTCTCTTAACCGCTGGTACTGAATTTATTTTAACCTGTGATCCTGGTTGCTTATGTATTTGACTGTTGCTGCAAGTCGAATATTGAGCTTATCACAGGTTAATAATGCTAGGCTGCATATGCTTGTAGTAGGGTGTGTGAAAAACGTTATAGAGCAGAAAGAGGCGTCAAGCTTCTGCTGGATAAAATTTAGAAGTTTGATCTGTCATGCTCATACACTGAAAGACGGCATGAAAAGCATGATAGCAAATACTGGAGCAAATTCAGTCAACC